ACTTAGTTCGCGAATAACGGCGCAAAAACGAGCAGTGCGGAAAGGCGACCCACTATGCCAGATCGCTACCCACACTCTGCAAGAAGGCCAGAAATTCGAATCCACGGGCACGCGGGTAATTACACGAGTGAGTAATAAGCCGGGGTGAAAACTACCGGATGCGTAGGTGTCAGACCCCAAATCCATCAACAGACATGTTGATATGCCCCCAGTTATCACGCCTTTCGTTCGCGCGATCAAGAAGCACGACCCTGTTCGTGTCCAAACACGCACGCTGCCACGTCAAAGACGCACACCGAGACCATACGGAGACGACGTGAGCGTGGACTCAACCGATCACGAATGCCACTCCCTCCCCCCTCCCCCCTCCACCCTTATTTCCTCGTAGTTCGACTACAAGACATGCCAATGCTTGCTGTTCTCTCATTTTATCTGGGACTGGGCTTCTGTACGAAACCAAAAGCTCCAACTAATATAAGTGCTATTCCAGTGGTCCCTCCTTTGTCTTCCTTAGAGTAAAATGAATGTTTTGACTAAAAACTGACTAGAAGTATAGGAGTTCTCAGTGACGCCCAGAAAACCACGAAGGACCAATGCCGCTGCGTAAAGTCATATCCTCTAATACTTTCAGAATTGGGAGCAAGTTAGTTGAATTTAACAAGCAACAAGCCAGCGCTCGAAAGCCTGCTCCACAAACTTATTTAGAAACACTGGATGAACAAGACCATACCACAAAGAACATAAGGAGCCTACGGGACGATTTCCCCGCCGTTTAAGCGCACGCAAACAGGTTATCGGTACTATTAGAAAAAATACGTAACCATCTCGTTCACATATTCGCTTCATCGAGCATAGGCTATTAAACTAAAGTTGGTACACCACAGCCTGTAAAGGCAGCCAACTTTTGAATTCCATTGGCTGCCCTTATCCGTGTTTTTTTAATCCGTTAAGTATGGTTACGATACACCCCGAGACAGGGAGGGAGAGGGCTGTAGGAATAAATGTCTATGGACGAGTTCATGGCAGCCTTGGAATGTTTGAAACACTTTGATAGTGATGATCAGATATGTGGTCCTACTCAGAGAACGAAAATCAAGAGCTCCGGAATGGTGGTGAGTGGTGTACACGAAATCGACAGATAAGTGATTCTGGGCAAGAAAAGTTAAACAAGCACCTTTACGACATAAGCTTGATTAAGCTGACTAACGAAGAGTAAAAGTGTCAGCACATAATTTACACTACTGCAAATTAGGGGCTCTTAACGGGCCCCGGTCAGAAGCTCCAGGTCCAAGAGAAACAATTGGGTTGCAGGAGAAAGTAAGGCGAATATATCGTTTACTCAGATTCTCGTGGTGCTCCTGAATAAAGGTATGATTGGAGTTGACAATGTTGATAGACAGACCCTATCTATCCCTAGCTCTTTTTCCAGCCCTAAGCAAAACGTTGATACAAATGGCAACATCGAGAGAAGCCCCAACCGGACATGAGCGGAAATCAAGATGATTAAATTAAGCCTACTTAACACACTAAAGTAGGCATTTTTTTATAAATTAAAACTAGGTTGGATCAAACGTCCCATCATCAACCATTTGACATTTGGTAAAAATTACTGTAAACGCATAAAGCAGGAATTTATATTAAAGAACCAATGCTTCAAGGGAAGAGCACCGTAATGTCAACTTTTTCATTCACTGTTGCATAAATTCTTCATACTAATAACATAACTCTAAAGACTATGCGGATTGCCAACTCAAGCGGACCAATCGGAAA